TTAAATATTACTATTTCAGCGTCAATCTAAACATAACGACTGGTTCACTGGTAGCAGTAGTGGGACAAGTAGGAAGTGGTAAATCTACGTTACTGTCAGCTTTACTCGGGGAAACAGAGAAAACACATGGACAGGTCTACCTTCAGGTAAGAGTCATTCTCATTGGGCACATTTTCGGTTTCTGACAGTTAAAGTTACAACAGCCTGAGTTAGGGAATGTTTACCTGATAATGAAATACTAGTTTTCCTTTGTACATTGTCATTGCAGCCATCTTGAAGGTATTTGCTAGATATCCCTTATCAGCTTCCTTTATTAATACTACCAACATTTCTATTCTTTGTTTGCATGTTACGTCATCATCACCATAATTATTGGTGGTATTTAACAGTAGGCTTTTTATCATTATATATTTTCTTAATATATTATTTTGTAAAGCGCCTTGAACTTGGTAGATATGTGCACTATATAAATTTAATTATTATCAGCTTTCGTTGTTTATACCACTAATGTACCCACCATGTCTTTGTGTCTTGAGAATGAATGCAAACAGCCAATCCAAAGTATACAGAAACATTGCAATATGTAGCTCTAATATGAAACATCATCTCACCTTACAGGGTTCAGTGGCATACGTACCCCAACAGGCGTGGATCCAGAATGCGACGCTGCGTGATAATGTCCTGTTTGGTAGAACCTTTGATCGTGATCGATATCGAAGCACCATCAAGGCATGTGCTCTGCAGACAGACCTGGATCTTCTACCCTCTGGAGATATGACTGAGATTGGTGAAAAGGTACAGGAAATGTTTTTCAATATTTAGCAATTATTAGTCCTTGAGCCCAAATGGGCTGTGAGTCTATAGCCCATGAGGTTGAAGTCCTGTTTTAGTCAAATCCAAGTAGTCGTTCAAATATGTAGATTCAAACAATGTTAATGTTTTGGTTTCCAAAGTCAGCACTTTTTGTTACTAGTAGGATATAACTTATAGCCTAGTAGTAGCTTCTTATCCAATCAGAATGCAGCATCGATGATAGACCACTAGTTGATTTGGACTAAATATTCAATAGCCTAGGCTTGCAGTTACTCACCAGCAACCACCAGGGGAAGCACACAGAATCAAGGATGGCATTGCGGAAGCTGCATGCGTCTCTCACTATACTGAGTGGTTGTGCATACTAATTTTCAGCTGTGCTTAGACTCGGCATCGCATATGAGTAGAATTTGTTGGGTCTCTCCCTTGATTACAGGGTTTTCTCCAGGTTCTCTGGTTTTCTTCCTCCGTAAAACCTCTCAGTGCTGACACTTTAAAATTACCTGGAATGCTGGACAAGAGCCACTTCTTGATTTCATTTCCATGTTTATTCCCAGGGAATCAACCTTAGTGGAGGTCAGAAACAGCGCGTCAACCTCGCAAGAGCCGTGTACTTTAATGCTGATGTCTACCTATTGGATGATCCACTAAGTGCTGTAGATTCACATGTGGGGAAACACCTCTTTGATAAAGTAATAGGACCCAGGGGCAAACTAAGAAAAAAGGTGATAACAGCCGCGTATTACTATTATTATTGTTGTCGATGTTTTAAGTGGTGGTAGAGCCTACGTTTTATAGGTGAAGTTGCAGTGTTAATAGTGGTTGGTCATTATCATGGTAGCTGTTGTGTTCTATTTGCGGGTACTATTGTTGTTGTTGATGGTGATTGAGGTTATTCTGTCGTGATGTTCCTCTAGATCTTTTTGTAGTTACTGCTGTTGTTGCTGTTGTTAATAATTTATTTTATTTCATTTTATCTCATTTTATCTTATTATATCTCATTTTATCTCATTTTATTTTATTTTGTTTTATTTTATTTTTACAATGTTCATACAGAGATGTCTCATTTAGCAGAGCTAGTTTAAAAAGAGCCCTGTTTGTTGTTGGTGGTGGTAGTGATGGAAACTGCTTTTGTTAACTATTAAATCTGTGTTATGATATGTTTTTTTTTCACCACCAGACTCGTGTCCTAGTCACCCATTCTGTACACTTCTTACCTCAAATGGACCAGATAATTGTCCTCCAAGGTGGACGAATCTCAGAGGTACGGCTACCCTTCTCTCTCTTTTATCTTCTATATTTATCTCTCATGTACCAATCACGAAGTCAGCTATGATGTTTCATTTCAAATGACGGTTTTTAGGTCGGAACTTACGACGAGCTTCAGGACAACCAAGGAGCTTTTGCTGAGTTCTTGAAAACATATGCCAACGAGAAACAAGACGGGCCAGAGGAAGGTAAGTCGACTAATCCCATCTTCATCACAGCTAAAGATGTCTGGGTTTTTGTGGCTTCCGTCAATAGCGCAGCGCGCTGATTCTAAAAATAGCTTGAAGATTCGGACAAACATTGCATTCTGTTTAACCGCTACGAGGATTAAACGAACCGATTTTATTATTTTTACTTAAAGTTACAATAATAACCCATGTACACTAAGATCAACTGCGATAGGCTGTGAAAATTATCTGCTGAAAGTAAACTTGTAAGTTTGTTTGTCCGAATTTCGCTTTTGTCTTCGTTTTCATGACGTCACGGCTGCGCTGCGCTATTAAATTTCCAACGGTATGAAACTGGAAAACTGCTGCAACGGTGATTGGCTTGAATTGTCTTCCAGCATTTAATCCAATCACAACATGTAGTTACGGCTGTGATAAGATAGATAGGCATGTACAGTGCGGCTACGAATTTGCCGTATGGTTTCCCTGTGGTACCAAAACCTCTCTATATGATAGTACGAGTCTCTATATGATACTACTAAGATATATAGGCATGTACAGTGCGGGTTCCCACTGATACCAAAACCTCTCTATATGATACTACGAGTCCTTGTTATCTTTCTTTCACCAGATACCCATCAAAGAGAAACACACCATAGCGACATCCACGAGCCTGAGGAAGGGAATCTACTAACCATCACGGACATGGACCACATGATGGGAAGTACCTCAGAACTTGATGCTATAGTGAAAAGCCCATCCCGATTAACTCTAACAGAAATAGCCAGTACCCATAGTAATGGGCGCACAATCCAGGGTGAAGACAAGACCATAGAAAGGGTGATTAACGAGGAGACTTCAGAAATTGGAAGAGTAAGTATTACCACGACCACAATCATTCCCAATGTAATTACAAAAGACACGGGGGCCATGTTGGATGATATGACAAAAGAGACTAATCACGAAACTTTTGTTAAATTCATCCAACATGGCGGCCGTGAAAACCATTAATAGCCGCCATGTCTTCAGCCACGAACTGCAGAAATTTGTTAACGATTCTAGTCACTAACCTTGTGTTTTATCTTTTGCAGGTCAGGTTTTCCGTGTTCTATACTTACGCAAAAGCAACAGGCCTGATCGTTTCTTTCTTATTCTTCCTTTTCCTCCTGGCCTCCGAAGGCAGCATAGTATCATCCAAAATCTGGCTCGCTCGTTGGAGCTCAGACAACGTCACGACAGACTCTCAAAGAGACAATTATCTATTTGTGTACGGAGCTCTTGGACTTTCACAGGCGTTCTGTATGCTGTTTAGCTCATTGTTTCTGGCTTATGGAGCTAATGTGGCTTCTAATGTACTTCATGATCGTCTAATTGTCAACATCATGCACTCGCCAATGTCATTTTTTGAGAGTACCCCTCTGGGGAGGATTGTCAACAGGTTTTCTAAAGACATGTATGTGATAGATGAGACGGTCCCAAATTCGTTGATGTCATTTTGGAGATGTTTTTTTGCTGTGATGAGCGCCATCTTTGCTATTAGTTATGCTACACCTATCTTCCTTAGTGTCGTCTTTCCATTGATGGTTCTGTATGTCTTCATTCAGGTGAGAAATCGATTAACGTGCATAATATTTTCTTGCAATAAGGAACACAAGAGTGTAATCATTTTGCGCTGGATGACGTAAGTCATGCGCGCATAATTCACTTGGAAGCGTTGCATAAAAGACGAAGTCGTCTCTATAGTTTTTTACAACTCGTAACGCATTTTTTTCGTTGCTCTTCGAGCTGGAAAGAAAAGAAATTATTGCGCAACCTGAGTTGCAAGTTGTTTCATTCTTTTGCAAGTTGTGAGAACAATTTCTTGAGAAACAGTATCCGGTTGCATGTGCTGGTGATAATTGATTTTTTGATGATGATGATAGTGATTGTAATACTCATGTTGGCTTTGGTGTTGCTAGTGATGGCGATGATGATTATTATGATAGAATGTCAAATTAGATCTATATCGTTCTATTTTCCAGCGTCTGTATGTAGCATCCTCGCGTCAGTTGAGACGAATCGAGTCAGTGAGTCGTTCACCAATCTACAGCAACTTCCTGGAAACGATCAATGGTACAAGTACCATCAGAGCTTACTCGCAACAACAATACTTTATTCGTGAAAATTATTACAGAGTAGACGAAAACCAGGTGGCATATTATCCGTGGATTTCTTCTAACAGGTAGAAGGTCTTGGCATTTTAGTGTAAGAAAACCTTGACAATGCGACCGCCTTATTACGAGCCAAACCCTTGTAATACGACTATGTTACTCATAAGCAAACCTTCGTAATACGAGCATCTCACTTGTAAGAAAACCTTTGTAATACGATCGTCTAATACTGAATTAGGCAATCTTTGCAGTATGGCCATCGGCAAATCTTTTTCGGAAACCTATGTATTATGACCACATTGTTTCTAAACACATTGTACTTTGTATTTAGGTGGTTGGCTATTCGACTAGAGCTCATTGGTAATTTTGTCATATTCTTCGCCTCTTTGTTCGTTGTCATCGCCAGAGATTCTATAGAAAGTGGTTTGGTTGGTCTTTCACTTACTCATGCTTTCCAGGTAAGACTTTTTTCTCTACTACTACTCCAGGTCCAACGAATGGTGGGAGGCCTTATTTATGATAGTTTCTTGTGGTATATTCTTTTATACACCATGCAAGGCTTACTGGGTGCAAACCAAAGTATGTAAAAGAACACATCATGTAAATCCAAACTTAATTTCTTGTTGTATATGCTTTATACACCATGCACGGCTTACTCGTGCAAACCATGGTATGTAAGAGAGCACACCATGTTAATCCAAAGTTAGTGGTATGTTATTTTATATACCACGGTTGACTGGAGCAGACTATAGAGTATACTATGTAGATCCATTTTATGTTAGCTTGCTTGGGAGTGATGATGAACCCTTTATCTTTGTGTCTTCAGATAACACAAACCCTTAACTGGATGGTTCGCATGTCTGGTGAGCTAGAGACGAATATCGTAGCGGTAGAACGGGTCAAGGAATATAGTGAAACTCCAAGAGAGGTTGGTATCGCCAGTCCTGCCAGCTATGCTTGACAGGAAAATAGGCCATGTACACTAAACGGTCACGTGACTACCCCTGGGAGAAATGACGTCAAATATAGAATGGAATATTTTATAAGGATTTTGTATGGAACAATTGGCTGGACAGCACGCTCGATCTCCCACTCCTGTCTTATTAATCATATCTTACCTTTAATCACACCTCCATTAATGCTATGCTACAAAATAATCCCCCTCCTCTCCCCCCTAACAGGCAGCGTGGATCGTCGAAGATAATCGTCCTCCTGAAGACTGGCCTGGTTCAGGTCACATCGCTATAGAAACTTTCGACTTGAGATACAGAGAAAACCTCCCGCTCGTCCTCAAGAATATCAACTGTGATATCGCACCAGGAGAGAAGGTACGTAGGTATCGATAAGAGCACTCGCGGGTAAACAGTATTGATTGTAAAGATATCATAGGGTTTGGATGCGTCAATACAGAAGATCCTGCCTCATATTCTAAACTATTTGTACGCGTCCCGTCATCCACATAAACCGTCCTTGTTTTACAAGGGTAGCACTTAGTAACTCTTCTCACATGTTATGGGGAGTCCGCGAATCAAACCCATGACCATCTTGGATAGCAGGGAGAAGCGGCGCATTAGCTGCGCCCACTAACCGCACTTTACGTCACATGAGGACGTGAAGCATTCATCTCTTTTCTTTGTTTGTCATTCTAGATAGGACTTGTTGGTCGCACAGGAGCTGGTAAATCGTCCCTTTCCATGGGACTGTTTCGTATTCTGGAAAGCACTGGTGGTAGAATTATCATAGATGATATTGACATCTCGAAGATAGGGCTACAAGACTTGAGGTCACGCCTTACTATCATTCCACAGGTAACCCATAGATTGCTTTAATAGTTGTATTAAATGAATAGAAGAAAAGAAAGGGATAGGCAAGTAGAGCTAAAAACTCGTCTTTCCTTCTTTTTCTTTCTTCTCCCGTCCCTCTCATTTTCGTTCTTTTCTACGAGCGGCTATTTTACACACGACTCTCCTATCCCAACTTGTTTCGCAACAGCGTTGCGACGCAAATTGCAAGAGTGTTTACACGATGCAACGGAGACACAGTCGTTGCCAAAAGTAGAAGCGAATTCCACTTTTTTAACAGTTGCTACCGACTTGTCTCGCAACATTTTTTCAGATTGTGCTGTAGCCGGGTTACACGCTGCAATGCTCAATGCAGCTTGTGTTGCGAGCCAAGCTGCAGAGAAAATTGCTCCGTGTAATCGCGCCCTTGACTTCAAATAATCCGATTGCAGAGTTCTATAGTTTGCTAACCTTTTATTCTTAGGATCCCGTGTTGTTTTCTGGTACGTTACGGTTCAACCTGGACCCGTTTGATAAATACTCAGACGAAGAGCTGTGGAAAGTCCTTGAAGTCAGCCATCTGAAGCAGTTCGTGTCGGGTCTTGCTGAAGGTCTGCAGCATTCTATCGCAGAGGGAGGAGAGAACCTCAGGTATGAATGGATGAATGGTAATTTTATTTTAACACCTATGTTAATTATTCTGGGTTTTTTTCAGTGTTGGTCAACGTCAGTTGGTGTGTCTTGCTCGTGCTCTGCTTAGAAAAAGTAAAGTTCTGGTCCTGGACGAAGCGACGGCAGCTGTGGATCTCGAGACAGACGAACTCATCCAGAAGACCATTAGGACTGAATTTGCTGATCGAACAGTGTTGACTATAGCACATCGACTCAATACTATCATGGATTACTCCAGGTAGGACCCGGCGTGATTATAAAAGGAGACAGGGTGAGGTATTGGGCGAAGAATGCAAAGAGATGGATGATAATTTAGTTTAGTCCTGAAGATGAACTGTTAAGTTTGAAAACGCTCGAAAAAACCACTTAAATAGAAACCTTCAAATTATATGAGGGGGAGAAGTGGTTATGCTTAGGCTCCGTCCACACGTATCCGGAAATTTTTGTATCCGCAAATTTTTTTTGCGGATACGGGTTGAGTCCACACGTGTCCGGAAATTTTTGTATTCGTATCCGGAAATTTTCGAAAACGGTCTCCAGAGTGGAAATTTTCGAATACGCTCCGAATACGGATACGTGTGGAAGGTCGTATCCGTAAATTTTCGAATACGCTGACGTAAACACGATTTTGCACATGCTCAATAAGAAAAAATATCCGTCAAAGGGACTAGACACTAGCGTGCATTAGGGCGGATCAAGAAATTTCCGGATACGTGTGGACAGTGAAAACGATTCGAAAACGATTCGAATACGCTGCGTGTGGACGCGAACATTTTCGTATCCGCAAAAAAACAATTTGCGGATACAAAAATTTCCGGATACGTGTGGACGGGGCCTTAAATGACTATTCTAACTATTGTGGTTTCTAAAATATTTTTTCAGAATTCTTGTGCTGGACAAAGGTTTTGTGACAGAGTTTGATAGCCCCTCTAGTCTTCTGTCGCAAAAAGGGATGTTTTACAACATGACGAAAGATGCTGGCTTGACCTGAAATACCATGCATCCTTGTGATGCTTATGGGTGTCATAGTAAGGAGGAAGTTCAATGTTGATTTTATGTGCCCCAGATATGGATGTTCAGCAACAAGATGTATTTCAATAAAATAACAGGGATTACAGAATCGTACTTCAGTGAAGAAAAAATAGTCTCGGTATGGGAATACGAAAAAGAAAAGAACGCGTTGTTCTTTGTGTTACTGTTAAAAGTGATTGACGTCACGAAACTTCGGAATGCTCTCTGTTGAAATGAACTGAACCCAACAAAACACAACAAAAAGTATTTAATTGAAAATATGTTATGAAATATAAGTATTAGTATAAAATCATTCAAACACAAATCCGCAAGAAGCTCAGTTTTGTTTCCAAAACAACATGGCCCCTGGAATTGGGGCTATATTTATATTTTGAAACCTCTAAAAGACTTCTAGTGGTCAGGATTTTGGCTTCCATCAATCAAATATTTACCAAAAGCTGTAAATTTTATGGGTGGGCCCTAAAACGTGCTCCAATTGTCTCCTGATGGCCACGTTGAATTGTATACTCAATACAATTTTGCCCATTGCTGGTGGAAGTGCTTATTGCTTTATGTGTACAAGATTTTTTTAAAACGTATTTATAAATGCTAATTTTTTTCGACAACACGTGGATAATAAAAATACAAAGTCCAATATAATATTGTTATTCATTTAGCCAGGATACTCCATGCCTTTTTCTAGGTTTCAGGTCAATGCATTCGTATGTGTTGGACTGACCCTTGTCGTCTTTTGCGTACGACAAAGACAAACACAAGTGAACCAATGATTGTTAAAAGTATCACGCCACCTACTACTCCTCCAATTATGGCAAGCCGTGCTGGGGAAAAAATCAAAGTTAAGCCATAAATTGCCTATTGGCACGGAGTGGAAGGGACTCAAACTTATTCTAATGAGTCATGAGATAGCTCGCCCCCACCCCGCATAGCTATTGACGCGTGACCCGTTACATGCAATGCGCTGCTACGTCGCTGTCTCCCACGGCTGGGTAGTTCAAGCCTGGGTAGTTCAAGCCGGGTCGCAGGTTCAACTTTCGACTAAAACGCACATGTAAGTTGAGATTGTATGATGTGTTGTTATCTCCCTTGCCGCGAGTTTTTTTTTAGTTTAGTGTTTTGTGTTGTAATTATTGGATGTAGTGGTGCGTGTGGATCGAAACTCAAGGAAGATCCCCTTCCCTATCCGGACCTCCTGGCAGGCAATTAACTTCTCTGTAAATTTTCTTACTTGGTTGTGCGGCTGTGCTGAATTGAGCCTTGAAACCTGAAGCAACTCCAGTGCGCGTTCGGAAATAAACTGACATCGTGTTGTCCTTGGAGTAGATAGGTCCTGGTATGTTTTCTCCACAGTAAATCCCAATTGTATCATGGGTGCCAATACCATTATACACTTGGACGAAGTCATCAGAGCCACAAGTACTGCTTTTTTTCGTTACATCGAAGTGTGAGAATGTGAGCTTGACTTTTCCTTCGGGTACAGTTATTTTCCAAGTGCAATATAAGTCTTTTGGATAGTTGGATGGGTAGCCAGGACTGCTAAAGTTACCAGATGACCCGCTGAGTCTTATATTATTGTTTGCATCGAAACTATTGAAATTATCACATACTAAAAAAAGAACACAGTATTTATGAATACATAAAACAAAACAAAAAAGGGACATAAAATGGTAGACACTGGGATTCTTGTTGAAAATAGTGCAGTTTTAATTAGATTTATTTTTGTGAAATTGCAGGAAATTCTGAATAGTCAATATTGTCCTAAGTGTCATGTAACAGCATAAAGAATGATGGACCGTGATGCTACTATCCATGATTGCTATGTATATATGAGATAAGACCAGACTGTAGCTTGATGTTACTAAGAAATATTGCGCAAACCGGTGTTTCACGATTATAGTGTGAAATACAACCCGTTGTAACTTGATGTTACACTAAGAAATGTTGCGCACCTCGGTGTTTCACGATTTTGATGTGAGATACAACTTGTGTGGGCTTGATGTTACTAAGAAATGTTGCATACGCTGGTGTTTCACGATTATAGTGTGAAATACAACCTGTTGTAGCTTGATGTTACACTAAGAAATGTTGCGCACCCCGGTGTTTCACGATTATAGTGTG